GCGGGGTGCGGCGGAGGCTGCCCCAGGCCCAGGCTCCCGCGTCCGCAGCTACGCCCTTGGGAAGTTTGCTTGTGCTGGGGCCCAAATGGAGCTCTCCTGTAGCATGAATCACGTGAGGAAGGGCTGTCAGGGAAGACCAGCAAACAAATAACATTGACACTGTTCAATCTGCGGCTAACGCGAATTCCCCCAAATGTTTAGGGCAAAGGGCTCAGGCTAAAAATTAAGTAATTTTTTATGATACTGAAATATGAAGCCAGAGGTTTTGCACCAGCCAGTTCAAGCGCTAGGACGACAGACGCGCCTTTTTTTGAAGGACGGTATTTTATTTCTGCATTTCTAGAGCATGACCACTGTTGGTGTCTCCCTTCTATTGCCAGCTGAAAGGAAAAGACTTAAATAATCCTTATTCCTGCCCCACAAGCAACAGGTGAGGAGAGACACCGGGGTACAGACCCCCCCCCAGCTTCCACCTCGGCTTGCTCCTCCGGGGAGGCCAGTGGGGACCGACCTTCCTCGGGCAGCGCCCAGCATCTGCCCGTCCGCACCAGGAGGCGACGGTCCCCACGGCTCCCCCACGGCCTGCCCCCGCATCCCACAGGGTACGGCCCGTGCCTTTTCAATCCTGTGAAGTCCTAGACGGCAGCAGCAAGTTGTAACTGTAAATTATGTATTAATTTGCATCTTCTGTGCCTGTAACGTTCCTTACCGGTATATTAAAGGGTACCGTCTGATAAAGTAGTGCATTTTACAGCTTCTTAAAAAAAGCCTGGATTAAACACAAATCTCTGAAAGAAGAGTCAAATAATTAAACCTAAAAATAGCATAAATATTTATTTTTAAAAAGCACTGAATCAACTTCATTACACAATTTTAAGTCTGGCAGGCTCAAGTGCTGCACCAGCTGTGGAATACACAGAGCTCCTGCAAGTGCCAATGTTTTTCCTCCCTCTAATTGGGACCAGGAATCTTACACTTCCTCGTCCCTGCTGGACACGAATCAATGCTGCCCAGCTAACACCCAAGAAGAGCTGCCTTCCAGGCTGCTAAAATGAACTGCAGAACCCCGAAGTTCAAGACAAACAAGATTGCTGGAACAGCATCAGCCAAAGACATCCCCAGCAATGACCTGGTGTCCTTCACCCCTCTCGCCCCCCAGCAGAAGACCCTACCTGCCGCACGACCCATATCAGCAGAGAGGACCCCTCTGCCATCGGGACCCCAGCGGGGCCACCGCCAGCCCCTTGCTCCCAAGGCACGGGCACGCCAGCGAAGCCGCGGCAACTGCTCGTCCATCCAGCTCAGAGGCATGGCGCCCGCGACAGAGACCGGCCAAGGACAGGGAGGAGAGCGGCTCCCCGCGAGCCGGTGGGCTGCCCCATCATGGTGACACCCCGTACAGCAGGTATCACCTTCCTAACATCTAGATTAGCGCCAACTCAAATCACAAACTCCCTTCAGATATTGCAGCCCATAAGATCTGGGAGGTTACAAGTCCGTCTCCTTCAGACACTTCCTTTCATCTTCACGGTCAATACCTCGTGGGACATCAAAGACAGCGTTTGGAGTATCTTTAGGAGATGCAAGGAACCCACTTTTCCCCAAACAGAGCTGTAGTTTAGGTTTTCCTGTCTGAGGCAAGTTGGGAATAAAAGATAGCGACAGTTTTACAGCCAGCCTTTAACACCCCCACCAGGCGGCTCCCACGGTCACGTCCCTGCACAGCTTTCCTGCACCCCACGGTCACGTCCCTGCACAGCTTTCCTGCACCCCACGGTCACGTCCCTGCACAGCTTTCCTGCACCCCCCGCTGTGGCGTGAGCCCTTGAAGAACACCGTGTGCTCGGGTGCTTGCCGGGCCCCCCCGGTCACGTCCCTGCACAGCTTTCCTGCACCCCACGGTCACGTCCCTGCACAGCTTTCCTGCACCCCCCGCTGTGGCGTGAGCCCTTGAAGAACACCGTGTGCTCGGGTGGCACTTACCGATAGGCAGGCGGAGGGTGATGTTGTTGCAGAAGTCGGTGTAGCAGCACTCGGTCTTTGTGATGTTCTTGGAGCTGTGGCAGAAGACCTGCGCGTTCAGCTCCGGGAGGGAGACGCAGGACTTGATCACCTCCTCCCGCCCGTTGGTCAGCATGACCGAGGCCCAGCAGGCACCCTCCGTCTGGCAGGTGAAGTTGGTGTGCTCACACAGCTGGCACACACACTTCAGACCTGGAAAAAGAAGTTTCCAGCTTTCATGAGAAGACCACGGGAAGACAGACCCCCGCAGCAGCCAGCCCACCGCAAGCACCCGCTGGAGCTCCAGTGCAGGTCCCGTGCCGCGGCCGTCGCCTACACCGGAGGACAAGGAAGCTGGACCCGGAAGGCCCCTGACAGCACAGGTCCCCAGCACCCACAGATAACAAATTTTTAAACCACGTGGCCCTTGGTCACAGGAAAACGTATGGCATCTATCTCGCGGGGCGGAAAAGGCTGGCCACCCCAAGGGGAAGTTCCTGCGAAAGCTGCCTTTTGCCGAGGTGGGGAGACGGAGGTTCGGGTCTTCAGGTTTAGGTTCTCAGCTCCCACAGGCTCCAGACGCCACCGCAGCCAACGCTCAGGACAAAGGCGTGCGCAGGCGCTCCATTTTGAGATGTGCATTTGGGCACACTAGGTACAGCATTTCACATTTCACCAACAGCCGC